TTTTCTACTAGATCTAGGCTGGGTCATTTCTATATAAGTAAAAAAGGGCATACAGATTTGCATAATGTGTGCGTGTGCACTTTCTGTCTCTCAGGAATGAGCAGCAATCTGGATTCAAAGGGGGAAATGTGATTCAGTGAACATATGAATACACGCTTAACACTTGATAGGAATCTCTTAAAGCAGCTATGCCTTCTCCTGGGACCAAAAATGGTCACACAATCCTGGAACAAGATGAGTTTAGTTTAAGGTGTTCTCAACAGGTGCTACATGTGTACCCATATGCTCTCAGAATGACATTTTACTTTTCATATCCATATATATATATGAGAGAGACAGACTTACATATACAGTATTTATGAACAGTTCCTAACAATTTCCACTCTCTTTAATTTTGTGGTTATCTTTAATTTGGACTTTGATACCCTCAAATGAAAGACTGTCTTCTGTAAACTATAATATGCTGTCACATGATGTTCCAACATGTATCAGTCCTTTTTATCTCAAACTTTATTTTAATGTTTTTTTTAATTTAATAAAGATTATCTATCTATAAAAAAAGAAACAGAAGGCTTGTGTGAATATCTTTTACCTTTGTTTCTTGGCTGTTTTACGCTGAATATGCCTCATTCCACTTTCCTTGCCTTGTGGAGGAAAAGTTTCCAGTATTTTTATATTTAAATTTAACTTTCCTCTCAGTGATAGGGAACTTCAGCCTTGGAATCTTATACTGTCCTTTTACAATTAGAAATGTCCCCAAACCCCTGACAGAAGATACACGATCAGCACAGATTTAATCACATTCACAAGGCCTCCTGGAATCACCATTTTGCTATTATAGTGGAAAGTTGGTAATGTTCAAATTAATATTGGCTACTATTTGGCAGACCACAAATTCTGCAATGACCATCAAACAAAATCAGTTTCCAGATTTAAAGGAATTCCTTCCATCTTTCTGAGAGGAAAAGCTGCCTCTCTTGTTCCCTGGAATAAAAGTTTAATTATTTAGTAAAAGAAGTATAGAATGGCTTTTCCAACAATTCTTGTTCATATTCCCATCCAAGAATATCTTAGATATTATTCTATATAATTAATCACTAAGTCTAATTACACTTCCATGCACATACTTGCCTTTAAATCAGGGCTGTCAAACTCGCAGCCTGCGGGTCAGATGCGTCACGTGCTGGCCACACCCATGCCCAGTTTAGCGATGGAGAAAAAAGTCACTATACGTCATGTGATGATGCAAGTTTGACACTCCTGCCTTAAATAATGATGATCTTGGGGTAGAGGGGTTTAGCTGGCTTTGACCAAGATGGATTTGAGTCCAAACCAACAAACCAGATTTGACAACCCCAAATAGGTGAGATCTAATTCTCCAAAATTAAACCACTGCTGAGTATTTCTATCACCTAAAGCATCCATTATCACCTCTACCAATAAGTGACAGGACAATTTCCTGTCTGCCAATGTGTATGACATAAAGATGATTTTGGAAGGAAGCCACTAGTGACCTGCAACCAGGAGATATTAGCAATTCACACTATTCCCAACAAAGCAATTAAGCAAACTGAGCCCCACAAAGAAAATAAGACAATTATAGCAGTTCTAATTAAAGTAATTAGACTCATTCCCTTTTAAAAAGGGAGGGGGGAAATCACTCCCTTCAGCTTGATGATACTTATTCAATTAATTGAGTTTGAGTTAGTTAGCTGAATATTTAAGGGAAGGAGATTTTTTTTCTCCCCTGTAGAAAATCATATGCTGTTCTTTGAGTAAAATTAACTTCGAAGTATATTATTTTTTGAGAATATGTTAACATTTTTGTTACTAAAGATTTAGTGGTTACAATATACTGAATCTTGTTCCCACAAAAAACTTTTGAGGAGAGCCAGCTTCTTGCCATTTCCACTTCAAATGCAGGTAATGTTCACACATATTTCTCTACAAACAAGCAAGATCACCATTATATGGAAAATTAACATGCTGGACAGAGAGGAGGATTTTAATGAAGATGGCTATTGATAGATCATCAAAATAAAAAGGACAACCAAAATACAGAATGAAAAAGGAATGGAGATCTGGGTATGATAATATACACAGACACATTCTGGCATAATTGTTATTTGAATAAATGTATAACGGAATTCATTATGGCCAGAAAGACTAACATGATGGCCAGCTTTGAAACTGAGTGTTTATGGCAACTTCAGAACTTTTACACTTATTAGATTTATTTTTAAACCAGATGTGAACTTGAATAACCATTTGCAGAGTAAGTAAGGCATCCAATTCAATACTGTAATTAGACCATGGGTGTCAAACTTGCAGCATCATGTTGCCATCACGTGATGTTTTGTGATGCTTTTCCCCTTCATGGGGTGGGCGTGGCCTGCGCATGTTTCATCTGGCCTGCAGGCCGCCAGTTTGACACTCCTGATCTAGACCCAGGTGTCTTTAATAGGTCACTTTAATAGGTTTCTTTAATAGGTTGCTTGTTGGAATTTTTAATATGTCTGTTTTCTATGGTCATAGATTCAGTCATGGGAAGTTTTCCTGCTTACTCCTCCATACAGAACAAGAGACACAAGTTAAGCACAACTTCTGTAAAGCACAACTTCCATTGTTTCTGAAAACTACTAGGTTTCAATCCATTGAAAATGGGAGGTTTCAAAATACTGAGCTGTTTCAGTTGCAATATATAATTGAAAACACGGACTATCAAATGACAGGACCATGTGCTATTACATTACTGTCTGCATAGCTTTTAATCATAGGTCACTACCATTAGGATACTTTTTACCACTCCAAAATAATTTCCTGATTTATGTAATTCCACGTATTGTTTACATTCAGCAGCTAAAATTATTTCTATTTTTTGCAAAAAGAAAAAGAGTGACATCTCAGTTTTCCACTAATGAGGCTTTGTAAAACTATGAATCATCTCCTTTCCCACTGACAAGAAATCTTGCCTTATTGTGTCTCCCCCAAATTCAGCTTAAGTGGCATTTTATCTACAGGTCTTTTAAGGGAAAAGATGGTTCAGAAGCCATTCGTATTTGTTATGTCCCACAAATATACACCATCCAAGTAATTCTACTTCAAAATAGAGCTAGAATTGATCTGGGGTGTTTAGACTGGGGTCTCCAACCTTGGCAACTTTAAACCTGGAGGACTTCAACTCCCAGAATTCTGGGAGTTTAAGTCCACCAGGCTTAAAGTTGCCAAGGTTGGAGACCCCTGGTTTAGACTGTAAATCTTGCAATTGTCTTCACTCATATTGTAACCCAACAAAGCAACAGAGCTAGAACAAAACTGACTAGATTTATCTCTGGTCCCTTCTTCTCTGTAACTACTTATGGATGAAATGATGGAATACTAGCAATTTTTCTTTTTTGTGTAAGACGAGTGGGCTTGACAGTTTTTTGTGGCTCCAGGACTTGTGTCCCCTTTCCCTTCACGAAGAACAAATGCAATAGAGGTAGTCCTTGATTTATGACCATTTCTTTAACGACCGAATTACAATAGTATTGAAAAAAGTGACTTAAGACTAATCCTCACACTTATGACTGTTGCAGCCTCCCCTGTGGCTAAAATTCAGGCGCTTGGCAACTGGCGTATATTTACAAAAGTTGCAATGACTTGGGCTCATATGATCACCACTTATGACTTTTCCAGGGGGCTCCAGGTCTCCAAGCTGAGCATAGGGGGAAAAACCTGGTTTGAAGCAATCAGTAGGACTGCTTCCTACTGTCCTATGAACGACTGTGGAAGACAAAGTCCAGGGAGAAAGGGGCGAGAGAGGCATGCTTGCATTAGCTAAAAGTGAGCAACTGTTACCAGGCTATTTCCATTCTAATTGTTCTATCAACAAAATGTTCAGTGAAGCATATCAGATTGTATCCATGGCAGAACCTGTGTCACATTTTTAACCACTGACACAGTTAAGGAACAATTTTAAGTTTAGGTATGGGAGGAGGAGGGAGGAGGAGGAAATGCTGTGCTGCAGTTAGGATCAGGTGTGAAAAGGATCTTAGTTGGAGACATTAACCGTTTCATAATATTTATTTGAATCAGGACTGGGAATTCCTCTCACCAAGCTTGAAGATACTTTGCCTTTAATTGCCTGATAGCTAAAAATTAGTCTGATAATCTCCACCTGCACCTACACACCGTTGAAATCCCTGTTGAATTCTGGCTTGTCTGTCACAAACCAACTTATTAGCTGCCTGCCGCTTAAGAATAGTTCTGTTGAAAAGTTCCTCACCTGATATTCCAATCCATGGCTCGATGACTATTCACCGAACTCAATTCCCTGAATTCGCCTAATTCCCTGAATCCTAACACCTAAAGCAGGATTCGCGTCTCAAGCGAGGCTATGAGGCGTTGGGCGCTTGTTTGTGGCTCAGAGCAAGCAGCCCGCCGCGAACACAAGCCAACGTGTGCAGCGGCGCTTACCTCCGAGCAAACAAAGACCGAAAAGACTCGCAGCACAAAAAGCGCGGGATCCGGGCGGTGGACACTTGTTCTCTCGTCAGTAATTAATCCTCGCAGCTCTTTTCCCAACCCTCCCCCCCCCACCCCACCCGGCGTCTTAGATCCAGAAACTCCCGAGAGCCGAGCTTGGCGTGCGCCGCTATTGTTTAGAAGCGCCAATCGTGGCGTCCGCTAACAAGAGCGCCGGGAACATCAGCTTCCTGGCGGGAAGATGCTCAGCCGGCGACCGCATCCTTCTCCTCCTCCTCCTCTTCCTCCGCGCCTGGCTAGCGTTCCGCCACTTGCCCTCCAAGAGGAGGGCTGCTTCTTGGAAGGGGAGGGGGCTGCTGTGGTCTGGCGGCGAACGATATTCCTCCCTCTGACATCACAATCTGGGCAGCCTGGATGTTCCAATAAGAAATGCTTGCTGGGGGTGCGGTGGGAGGAGGAGGAGGAGGTGGTGGTGGTGGCGGCGGCGGCGGAGTGACTCATGGATTCCTCTCGGGGCTGGCTCCTCCCCTCCCAGCCCCTTCCCATCTCCTCCACATGGGCTACCTCGCAAGTCTCCCGTTGCTGAGGGGGGTGGAGTTGCTGGGTGGGAAAGGCTGCTCTTCCGTTTCCCTAACTCTGCCTTGCACCTGAAGCCCAGCCGCGTGGTGGTTGAGCTGCCGATGGGGCATGGAGGGAGCGGAGGAGGAGGAGGAGGAGAGCGCGCGCGTCTTCTCAGCCGTCCGGCGCGTCAGCATTGCAGTGGATGAGACTAACGTCCTGCCGGGGGCTCTGCAGCTGATCCGAACGCTCAGACCACAATGGGAGACGGAGCGAGTTAAAACCAAGGTACAAAGGCAGAGAGAGAGAGAGAGTTCGCTCGCAGCCGGCGGCCAAAAACGCACTGCTGTGGGGCGAGATTGCTCGGCATCTTCTTGCCAAGGATACCGATGGCATTAAAGGAGGAACAACGGCGAGGGGCGTTGGGGGCGGGAATGGTATGCAGGAAGTGCAATTCACCTCTTAGGTGGGTTTTTTCTTTTTCTTGTTAAGGAACATTCAACAGGTCGAGGTTGGGTTTGGTAGTGCGAGCCTTTCCCTATTAAAATGGACCAGGCAGCACCTTAGCTCTTTCCTTTAAGCTTTAGCTGCACATCTTCCACAGGAACGCAGTGATTTGAGTCACCCATTGGATTCTCTGATCACTTCTTATAAAAGTGATCCAAAATTGGATCTTTTCCACCCTTTCTGTACATGGATGTGGGTTTGAATCTTCGACCATAGTTGACATGCAGAGAGAGGTCCTTCAGGCATAGATTATGATCAGGACTCTGTTCTGAATGTTTAGTGGATGAGACACCCACTTTGTTCTTTATGATCGTTAAACACCAGCTGAATGCTATTTTCCCCACAAAACCACCTGATGGTTAGAAGGAATTTTTAAGTGGATAGATTTCCCCTCCCAGTTCTTTGTAGTCTAGTCTTGTTTAAGCATCAGGTGTGATTGCAGGCATATTGTCTTTAGTTTGGAGAGAGGGATTTGATAGTCACTGCCTCCTATAATTTATATTTTTGTGACTCCGTGGTCATATCTGTAAAATAGAAATAGAATGAACATTCCTCTTACTCAGAAATAGCATGAACATCAGCTGTTCCAATGTTGGCCACCATCAATTTTTCCATTCTGTGATGTTGAATCCCTTATAAAGCATGTACGTAAGTAAACCAATCTATGTTGGTTTACTAGTACCGTACTGTTTTTACAGCAAACTCAGAATAACAAGCCACTCATGACTTTAGCAATTCATGGAATAAGGAGTGCATTTCTGTGCTACACCCTATTTTTTTTTTTCTCCCACCTTTTTGCACTTCAGTGCAGGTAAAGCACTTAGCCAAGATTGCAGGAAATTGCCCTGTAGCCATGCCCGCTGATCTCTTTTGAGACTCTTAAAAGGAAAAATCTATAAATCGCACAGTTCTTGGAAGAATCTCATTTTAATTCAGATTTATACTTATATGGAAGAAATTGTAGAAAACATCGCACAGAGATCCGTGTGCTGGTTCTTTATAGCTGCCTTTTCCATGATACAACCAATTCATATCTACAAAAGTTTATTTTATCATCTCTGTTTATATAGTACTTGTGCTCTTTGGAATAAATGAGATCTTATGTTAAATACAATACACAGAGTCCCTGACTCAAAGCATATAATGACACAGTTTCACAAGATTGCAACTTTGTGCATATACTCATAGTTTTAAGTAGTTTTACATGTTGGGCACATGGATAGCTATGCTGAATAATCTATAATTAAGAAAAACACATTTGATTTACTTTTTTTAATTTTATTTGATTTATATGCCGCCCTTCTCCGGAGACTCAGGGCGGTATACAATGCGTTAAACCTGGATTATAGAACTATCCTCACTTTTAAGTAGCTATGGGCAAGGTCAGTTTGGAAATCAATTGAGATATTTTTCTCCATATTGAAGACCCATTTTTTTCCCTACACCCATTTCCAAGAATGTGACTGGGTTCAAAGCAAGGCTCTTCTCCAGCCCCTTCTGTGAGCCCCAGATACCTCCTCTACCACCATGAGCTTTTGAAAAGGCCAAACCAACCATTGCCTTACATGGGTGGCTTGTCAGGCAGCAGATATGGATGTGCAGCAGATGATGGGTGATTTATTATTTCAGTGTTTTATACTGCCAAAAAAGGTGAGGGATGCTTTAGAGACATGCATACTATAAGCAACACCTTAATTAGGGGTTGAAGAATGATGGGCTTCTACTACAGTGAGCAATATACTTGGGCCTGCTGAAGTTCAGGTATATGTCTTTGTCGTCTTCTTCTTCTTCTTCTTCTTCTTCTTCTTCTTCTTCTTCTTCTTCTTCTTCTTCTTCTTCTTCTTCTTCTTCTTCTTCTTCTTCTTCTCTTCTTCTTCTCTTCTTCTCCTCCTCCTCCTCCTCCCTCCTCCTCCTCCTCCTCCTCCTCCTCCTCCTCCTCCTCCTGGCATTTGGTAATAAACAAGTGTAGCTGAAGGTCTCTGGGAAGCTTCCATTTCACTAAGTCCCTGGAGTCTGAGCAGCTATGTTGCTGTATTCAGAATGCCATTGAGGAAGGCAGATGCGGACTTAGACCTTTGGGGAAAGCTCACTTCGTTGTGATAAAGTGAAAATAAACCCTTTCCTGGTGTCATGCAGAGAATTCTACTGGTTCTATTTTTTTTCTACCGGTTCTAATTCAGTATGAAGAAGAGATGTTTGCTTTCATCATTTCTTTTAGAACAAGAAATAACATTAATCATGTTCTTATGAATAAAATAAAATATGCTACTCTTGCATTTGTTTAGTTAGGAGGTGGGCAGTGTGAACTGTCCAATCTATCATTTTTTTGCTTATCTCTTTGGTCTTCAGCCACTCTGGCTTTCCGTGCTGCAGATCCCCAAGGAACACATCATCAACCCATGGAGACCATTTTCATATTGGGAAGTGTGGTGGCAGCCAGGGATGCTTTGAGTGATTGAATGAAGTGAAGCATAAACCATCCTCCACCACTACAATAAAATAAACTTAGAAACATTTCTTCTTGAGGGTGAAGGTTCATTCTCTGAGCTTGTGGGTTGATTTCTAAATGTTTCATTACCAGGATAGGTAACATTTTCAGAAGAGTTTAAGGGATGTCAGTGTCAGTGTTCTTCTGTTTATAAAGGCTTTGTGTGGACAGTCTTCTGATGGTGAGGTCCCATCAGGCGAAGGTCTCATCAGGTCAGGGTTTTGTGATGGTTTTGTGATGTGACCTCTCCACCCCAAGACCTACTGTTCACACAAATCCCTTACATACAGAAGAACACTGACACTGACATACCCTAAACTCCACTGAAGATGTTACCTAGCTTGGTTATGAAACATTTAGAAACCAACCCACAAGCTCAGAGAATGAACCTTCACCCTCATCTTACACCCGAGCTACAGATATTTGGCTCTATTGCACACTTCTTCTTCCTAGCATTATTCTCATGCTATGGCAGGGTCCACTTAAAATAAATTTAGAAACACAAGACAAATTTGAAAGACTTTCTCCAGTACCCAAGAGCAAGGTAGAGAAGAAACCCTTTATCTGGGAAAGAAAACTTCTGAGCAGTTGCAAACCAGATTACAGCAGCATCAAGTATCACATTGATTGCTACAGCATCATTACCTGCTGTAATTCCCAATCCTAATATCTTGTAAATACTAAGATAAAAAGATTCACCTATTCATAGAAACATAGAAAACTGAGGGCAAAAAAAGTCCTAGTGGTCCATTGAGTCTGCCGTTTGAGTTTTTTGTTTGTTTGTGTGTTTTTTTTAATTTGATTTATTCATTATTTTTATTTTATTTATTTATTAATTTTTGCAAGATGATAGACGTGTATTTATCCTAAGTTACTGATGTTTGACTCACCCTCTCTGCTTGAAGTTGGTTCCCAGCTTCCACTACTCTTTCTGTGAAGTAATACTTTCTAATATTACTTTTGATCCTCCCTCTTGTCAGTTTGAGGTTATGCCCCTGTATTCTTGATAGTTGCTTAATATTGAAACTACTACCATCTAGAAACTTATGCACACCCTTAATATATTTAAAAGTTTCAATCGTGCCCTCCCATTCCCTTCTGTTCTCCAGGCTGCACATGTTCAGTTCCACCAATCTCTCCTGATACGTTTTGTCCTACAGACCTGTCCTACATGTCTGGAGATGAGCAACGTTTTTGTTGCTGGTCTTTGGACTTACTGAATTTTATCAATATTTTTTTTTAGTGAGGTCTCCAGAACTGTATTCCAAATGGGGTCTGACTAAAGCCCTATATAATAGGATTAGAATACCTCCTCTTTCCTGCTGGTGATCCCTCTAATGCAGGGGTCTCCAAACTTGGCAACTTTAAGACTTGTGGACTTCAACTCCCTGCTTTGCTGGCTGAGGAATTCTGGGAGTTGAAGTCCACAAATCTTAAAGTTGCCAAGTTTGGAGACGCCTGCTCTAGTGATAATCCCAACATTTTGTTTTGTCTTCACAGTTGCCTGGCTACACTGTTTACTCCTTCTGCAGTCATCTGATGAGCACCCCTAAATCCTTTTCTTCTGTTATTCTGTCTAACACTGTAGCTCCCGATACTGTAGTCTGCCAGCAGATTCATTTATGAAGCACATTTTTGGAAGGAATATTTTGCTAGATGGCTAATAGAAAAAGCATTGATCACCACAAAAGCTACTGCAGATTAAAAAGGAGGAGGGAACTATGATCACTGTTATTGACTGGAGAGAAATGATATCCCGACCCCCTGTTCGATATGATTCTGAAGAGATGCAGGCTTGTTGGTTATGACTGTCCACCCAATTTGGCTGGGTGCCCTCAGCAAGCAGGTTCTCAGCAAGCCTGGGGAGTCTGTGGCAGAAGGATCATTACAAATTTATAAATTGTCAGGTATAATCAAATGGAAAAAAGCAGTGGGAAAATAAATGGGAAAGGTCATCTATAAAGAGCCAGGGGAAAAAATACTAAGGCTATGAGTTCTCTAGGATAGTTTGTTCCTATGCATGCACAGCTTTGGCTTCTGCACCAATTACATCTTTTCTGGATTAGAGGTTCTCCTTATAATCATTCATGCCTTGGTTATCACATGAAGCAGTTCTTGAAGAGCACCCAGAAACCAAGGCTAGTGCAAAATGCCGTGCTGTGGGCAATTATGGGCACTTTTTAAAATGTACAGCATGAGAAGCGTACTACAGGCCCTGCCCATAAAGAGTCATCTAGCACAGGGGTCTGCAACCTTGGCCACTTTAAGATTTGTGGACTTCAACTCCCAGAAT